GATTAGTTAAAAATTGTATATGCAATGCCAACCTCATGGTAACTAATTCTTTAAATTGAATTTGATGTTAACGTTAACACTCAGTTTATGCCATCAATATTTGTAGATCAATCTTGGCCAGGCTGGGACTAGCACTTTCTACTTGATACCATAATCTCGCAAGGCAGTAAATTACTATTAAAGCATCGATTTTCTAAAGATGCATCAAAGACTCTGCGGAATATTAAACGTTGCGAAGTGGCGTAAAGGGGTATTGTGTATAGTAGTTTTATTAAATGAAAGCCGTCGGAAGAAGGAAGAAGGCTAGAGGGTACTGTTCGAAAAATAATTAAATAGTGTAGGGCATTATCGTAGAAATATACGTGTTCCGGGCAAAAGACTCGAACTTTGTATTTATTTTGCGTGTTGCGTCACGCTATCATTGTATTAAAGGCGTTTGCAACATAACATTGTTTATCACTGGCGTGTGGTAGCAAATCTTTATATTTTTGCAATGGTATATTGGTATTGATACATACAGTACAGCAATGAATAAAAAATAAAAAAAATCCTGCATAATCGAAGATTAATAATCTATTTTATCCATGATAATAAATCTTCAAATTCTCAACAAATCTTTTATAACAAATCTTTTATCCAATCCGCAAACAACACTCCCGGTCCAAACAATGATATTGCCAATATTGGTTCTATGTGATGATGCGTCATTACTCCCATTACTATACCAGAAAGACATAATGGCAATGATACATAAGATGTACAAATAAAAAACTCTTTATTAAATCCTTTTTCGCAAAATAAAACCAATACAATCGCAATAGATTGGACAGAATACGTTGTAGAATATGAAATTATTGAATACAATTCTTCACTTTTCTCTTCAATTTTCTCGCTAACCACAATAAGACCGATGACAATTAAAAGAACAACTATATTTGCAAAAAAATTTATTAACGATACCTATTTAATTGAAAAAAAATCAAGAATACGAAGAAACTAAACAGTTATTTAAGTGAAAAGCTCGGTGAAATTTTTAAAAAAAATATCAAAATAAACATAACATACTCCTGTTTTACGTTGTATTTTTCTTTCCGCTAGCATCATCTCAAGAAACGCCTTCTTTTCTTCGTTACTTTTAAGATAAGTAAAATAAAATTTCGCCTCGAAAGACAACCTGCCGTAAAGATCTCGCAATTCTTTCGGTAAATCTCGAGGATACACAGTTAGACCTTCTCCTTCTACACCGTTTTCTTGATCATTTTTAGAACCTTCTTTTACTTCACCGCGTTCTTGATCATTTTTTGAACTTCCTTCTACTACGGTGAATGACAATGCTGCTGTTAGTAAATTTAAATCGTATATTCCTAAATCTCATAATACATACTTTGTAATTCAATATTATCATTCATGATTAACGTTAAAATATTATTAAAAATATACAATTTTCTGAATTATGTGATTTGATCAAGAGCGAAAGAATAGCTACGAAAAAAACGACTCATTTTTATACTAATGATTTTAATGTTTATTACGTCATAATAGTTTGCATAAACTTTGTATTATGTAATTTATGTAATTTGTATTACTCCAATCTTGGTCGTTAGCACGTGATTCTATTTCGGAATAATTTTTTTATCGTGGTACCGGTCCTTTTTTTTTTATTAAAAAAGAATTTATTCACGTTTTTTTTATATCTTTTTTTTTTCGCACTTAAAATAACTATATTACGATAAGCAATACTAAGCAATTATTGATAAGCAAAATTTGCTACGGTAATATTTTATGCTACGTGTATTTACTTACGCAAATAAACTTTCAAAAAGCTTAACCAATCACAAAATATTTAAGTTATTTTTTCTATTTAATGTTCGTTACTGCCACTCAGGCTTCTTCTATCCTTGGTGATTCCTTGTGTACACTTTGTCGCTGGCACCGC